GTGCCGGCCCGGCCCTGCGCGACCCCGCTCCTGGGTGCGTGCGCGCCCCCGAGTCGCACGTCCTGACGTGCTCCCGCCCTGCGCTGCAGCGAGCGCGCGGCCCGGGGGAGCCTGGAAACCGACATCCCCTCTGGCAATGGGCCCCATTGTGAAGACCGCGTGAAACCTCGGAACACCTTGCTCATGCCCCTGCGGTGTCCTAGCGTTTGTAGATCCTGCCAGCCCAATGGAAGGACTTGTGGAAAAGATCGAGCCTCTCAGGTGTGCTCGGTGCAACTGGTTGGTTGGTGTATTCCATTGACAAAAGTTGCTAGACTCGCAGGAAGTGAACCAAAGGAGAAGTGAGGTGTGGATTCGAGAGGCGGTGGTTTGCTGTTTCGCGGAATCTACTTACAATGAACCAGTCCCCCAAATGTAACTAACGGTAGAGTTGGCGACTCCGTACCTTCCGCTCAATTCCCTTCCTCTCTGAGTGGCCAGGTAAAAACGAAAAGCGGTTCTTTCCCCAGCAAACAAAGTCATCTCTATGGTAACGTGTTACGCAGAGGAAATAAAATGTTCTTAGAAGGCCGGGTTTGTTTACTAAACTTATATTTGTCCCGTACTAATTCGTTTGATGGACAGATTCTTGGTGTGGCTTGATTTGGCTTTCTTGGCTTTCGTGTTCTAATTATAGCTGCTGCCCACAGCACCTCCTACCTCCTCTTTGGGGGTGGGGGTGGGGCTCTTATCTGTAGCCCAGGTTAGCCTCGAACCCACTCTATAAACTATGTTGGCTTCCAACTTGTGACCTTCCTGGGCCTCAGCCTTTTGACTGCTGGGATTACAGTGCATAGCTGACCTGGCCCTTTGGGGCTCTGACTTTGAATGGCCCTGAGTTTGTGCCCCAGAACCCATATAAAAAAGCCATATGTGGTGGCAAGTTTGTGTAATCCCAGTGTTGGGGAGTCAGAGACAGGAGGATCCCTGGGGCTGGATTGCCAGCCAGCCTAGATGAATTGGGGAGCCCCGTGCCAGTGAGAGACCCTGTCTCAAAAGAAAGAAAAGGGGAGAGTTGCCGGGAAACACAGCTGAGGTTTAACCTTGTCATACCCCCCCCCCAAAAAAAATGGCCCCAAGCAACCCCTTTCTGGCAGGTAAATATTCCCTACTTGATTCGGATATAGTGCAACACTCATCCTTCCTTAAACCAGACTAGCAGGCTGGAGGCCTGATGATTGATGATTGATTGATTGATTGATTGTTTGATTGATTGACAGATGTGTAGATAGATGATAGCTATAGATCCCATACCTCCCTCTTTCCCAGTTTCCTTTTCTCTCCCCTGCCACCTCCCTCCTTCCCTCTGTTTCTCTCTGCATGCCTGTCTCTCTCCTCCCTCCCTCCCCTCTGTGTATGTCTCTCTCTCCCTGTTTCTGACTCCCTCTCTGTCTCTGACTCTCTGTCTCTCCCCACATACACTTCCATCTCTCTCTTTACCCACGTATGCCTCCCAGCCTCTGTCTCTCTCCTCCCTCCCTCTTTTTCCTCCCTCCCTCCTCCTCCTCCCTCCCTCCCTGTCTCTCTCCACCCTTTCTGTCTCTGTCTCTCTCTCTGCCCACATACACCTCCCAGCCTCTCTGTCTCCCTCCTTCCCTCCCTGCCTCTGCTCACAGCTCACCCTTTCCCCAGATCCTTTCCCCAGCTGTTCCTGACACAGGACTCTCTGATTGCTCCATCTCCTTGTTTTGTACCTGCCCAGGTGTCTGGACCTTTCTTTGTTTCTTCAACTCCTGAGTCACAAATTTGCCACCTGAAGGGTTACTGAAAGTCATCTCCTTTACTCATTAACACGTCACCCTGGGGCCATTTAGCTAGAGAGACCTTAAGAGTATTCTGACATATTTTGCTCAAGGAAGAGGCTCATAAGTTTTCTGTTTATTCTTCAGGGACTTTAAGTGTGTTGTGTGCTGTGCCCATATGGAGCACATTTTTTGAGACAGTCTCAATGAAACTGTAGCTGGCAATTTGACCCCAGGGATCTTCCTGTCTCCCCTTTCCAGCACTGGAATTACAGGTGTGCACTGCCACACCCAGCTTTTAACATGAGTGCTGGGAATTGAACTCTGATCCCCATGCTTGCAAGGCAAACTGACTGTACCTCCCCAACCAGTTTGTTTTTGAAACAGGATCTCACGTAGCTCAGACTAGCCTGGAACTTATGATGTAGCTGAAGAGGACCTTAAACTCTTAATCCACCTGCCTCTGACTCCTGAGCGGTGGGAACACAGGAGTTCACTAGCAGGCCAGATTTTATGGGGTGCTTAGAGTAGCCTTGCCTTTATGCACACTGGACAATCTATCGAGTGAGCCCTTCCCTACCTTTTTGCTTAGTAAATTTGAACACCGTTGTAAGCTATAGACCAAGATCTTCTGTGACTTGAGTTGTCCCTTCTCTTTCTTTGGTTAATTATCTCTATAATCTAGATTCTTACCTCAGTACACAGCCCCACAAAAACAGTGTCACTCATCCTATTAACAAAGCTAACAGTTCAGAACCAGCACATGAGATCCTGTTTCAAAACAAAAAACAGGCTGGAGAAATGGCTCAGCAGTTAAGAGCACTAGCTGCTCCTATAGAGGACCTGGGTTTGGTTCCCACATGGCAGCTTACAACCATCCCTAACTCCAGTTCCAGGGGATCTGTCACCCTCCTCTGGCCCCTGCGGGCATTGCACACATGTGTGCACTTAGGCAAGCACGCAAAACACTCATAAAATAAAAAAAATTAAAACAAAAGGGATTGGGAGATGGATCTGTGGGTAAGGTGTTTGCCATGCATGCAACCATGAAGACCTGAGTTCAATCTCCGTCACCCACATAAAAAAGCCAGACACAGCAGCACCTGTGATCTCAGTACAGGAGGCAGAGACAGGAGGATCCCTGGGTTTGCTCACCAGCCAGACAAGCCTAATTAGTGAGCTCCAGGTTCAGGGAAAGATGTTAACTGCTGCCACAGATGCTTCAGTGGGTAAAGGGCTTGCTGCCAAATCTGATGACCAGAGTTCAAGCCCCAGAACCCCATAGTGGAAGTAGAGAACCAACTCTCACAAGTTTTCCTCTGATCTCCACACTGGAAGGTACAAAGAGTTTTGGGTCTTACTGGCCAGCCAGATTTGGGGAGAGACCCTGTTTCAAAAATAAGGTGGAGCTGGCCATGGTGGCACATGGCTCTAATCCCAACACTCAAGAGGTAGAGTGGCTCTCTATGAGATTGAAGCCAGCCTGGTCCACATTGTCAGTCCCAGGTTAGCCAGGGCTACCAAAAGATTGTGTCTCACAAAACAAAACAAGGTGGACAGGGGGCCAGAAAGATGGCTCAGGGGGTAAAAGGTGCCTGCTGCCAAGTCTGACATGACTTTGATCCCTGGGACTCATTGGTGGAAGTGAGAACCCACTCCTGAAAGTTTTCCTCTGACCTCCACCTTCAAGTCAAGGCACATCCCCCCACATACACACAAACTAAATAAAATGTAAAATAAAAATAAGGTAGCCGGGAGTGGTGGAGCACACCAGCTTTTGGGAGGCAGAAGCAGGCAGACCCTGTCTCAAAAATAAAAAGGTGGGGGGGGGCCAGGGGGCTGGAGAAATGGCTCAGCACTGACTGCTCTTGCAGAGGACCTGGGTTTGATTCCCAGCACCCACATGGCAGCTACAAACCGTCCTTAACTCCAGTTCCGGGGGAATCCAAAGCCCTTTTCTGACCTCCGAGGCATTGCATGACACAGGAGCACTCACGTACATGCAGACAATACACTCATAGACATAAAAATAAAGTATAAAAATAAAAAGGTGGGGGCTGGAGAGATGGCTCAGTGGTAAGAGCACTGGCTGTTCTTGCAGAAGACCTGGGTTCAAATCCTAGCACCCACATGGCAGCTAACACCCATCCATGCTTCTGGCTCCTGAGGGCATTGCACAACACAGGTGCACTTATATACATGCAGGCAATACACTCAAAATAAAAATAAATTTTAAAAAAAATGTGGAGGGAGAGATGAAGATACTGGAGGTCAGCCTCTGGCCTCCCTGTGTGAATGGCATAGGTGTACACACCTACACACACACAACCCACACTGTTATCTAGCACTGAGCAGAAAGCAGAGAGGAAACATCAGGTCATTCTGCTGAAACGGGTAGACGTCACGTGTCTTTGCAATGGATTTATTACATAAATAGCAGTGTCTGTGGACTCTGGCTTCTACTGTAGGATTCCGCAGCTGACTTGACTTCTCTGAAATGTATCACTTCCCTGTGGCTCTGTTATTGAGCATTTGAAGCAACTTCCAGTTTTGAAACAAAACTCGGGATCTGAATGCAGTAATTCTTATTTTAATTGGCCATTTCGATTTTTTATTTTGTATGTTTGAGTGTAGGTGCACATGTGCCATGTGCACACATGGAGGTTGGAGGACAACTTGCAAGAATAGATTCTCCTCTTCCCCAACATGGTCTCTTGGGGATTGAACTCAGATCGTCATCAAGTTTGGTAGCAAGTGCCTTTAACCGCTGAGCGATCTCACTGGCCCCCAACCACAATAATTCTTAATGCTGTCATTCACTCCCAACCTGCTTTGAGGATCCCATAGAAACTGTAGACGCTTGCCCTAGAAAGATTGCTGTGTGCACACCAAATTTTACATCCAATTATAGTGGGTTCATAACCTTCTGAAACCAATTTGTAGCTCTGAAAGGGGTCTATGTAGTACCTAGACTGAGTTCCTAGGGCAGGGGATGTGGCACAGT